AAATTAGACATTCCATGTTCATATCGATGCGCGAACAAATTTAAAACATCAAGTTTATCGTAATTTAATAATTCCTTTCTGAAAGTATACAAGTTCAATAAACATTGTAATGTTGCATTTGCATAGCATGAAACTTTGTCTATATTTTGAAAACCGCGTATAATCCAAGCAGTTCTTTTTAATGGAGCTTCTTTTTGACCTGATTCTTGAACGGAAGTAATTATTTTTGACAATGTCCACGGAACATCTCTAACTTTACGATAACGTTGTTTCGAAATAGTGATTATTTCTGTTTCTGGTTTACTTATTTTTTTCAATCGATTATATTCTATAATTGCCATTTCACTAGCAAACACGGACGAATGATCAAAATTAATTAAATGTAGTCCATCAAGAGATGTTACTCGAGATAATGCAACATAAACCTGACCACAACTAAATACATTGTTACCTAGATCCATAACAGCATTTTGCAAACTCAATCCTTGACTTTTATGAATGGTAATACCATAACTCAAAGATAATGGAAATTGTTTTCTAGTAACATATACTCTATCCATCACTGGAAACTTGACACTCACTCTTTCAATGAAATACTCTAAATCAGACGGTAAACGAACTTTTATCTTTTCTATGTAATCAGTAGTTTTATCCTGTGAAACTGATACAACTATAGCAATTGTACCATTTACAAGTCCCAAACTAGCATCAATATTACGTCTTATCATAATTTTCGCTCCAATTTTAATTGTAATTCGTCTTGATAGTCCAGCTGTTTTAGTATCATCGTCATCATTATTTGACAATACCTTTTCTACTTTTTTTTTCATATATGAAATACAATCAATCGTGTCTTCAGCAATTAAAAATATTTCTTTCGAAGTAATACGATTTAACATTGCAGCATTTAATTGATCACACATGTGATTGTTAGGTAATAAACAAACGATAGATGTGAAATTATTAATGAAATCACATAATTCGTTCAATCTTGTCTCAAAAAACTCACCTTTGAAAGATATTTTTCTTTTTTCAAGAATATCGCAGTCAGATGGTATTAACAAACCAACGCGAATTCTCGAAAGTAACTCACGATAAGATCCGTCTCCTTGCTGACGCATATTAATCGTCAATTCATCATAATCAAATAAATTAGTCCATAGATTAGTAGCACTTAAAGAACCAAGATATTTACGAACTTTTTCTTCTGTCAAGTGTATAAAAGCAGGATCTTCAAGTACAGGAGGTAACTGAAGCAGATCTCCAAATAAAAGAACGTGCTTTCGACCAAACCAACCATCATCACAATCAGTAGTATTGTATATTTCACATAGTCGTAAGTTTATATACATAAAAAATATATTAGATATCATTGACACTTCATCAATTACAATGAGACTAACATCTTTAAGATCTGTTCGTAAAATTTTTAAAACATGATCAGCTAATGGTTTATATTTAGGAGTACGACCATGTTCAACGGGTAATTGGAATAATCTGTGAGCTGTCAAACCATTTACATTAAATGCTGCCATACCAGTAGGTGCTGTTATAGCAGTATCTTTGTTGAGATTTTGTTTTATCCAAGATTTAATTGTTTGAATCAAGAAACTTTTGCCAGTACCTCCTTCTCCGCTAACGTATAACCGTAGTATTTCTTTATCTGATGATATAGTATCAGTGACTCTATTAAATACTCTTCTTTGATCCGCATTCAATTTTGAAATCATTTCAGATACATCGATTTCCTGTTTGTCACCAAGATCTTTAAAATCTTGCATCGCATCACCAGCTTGAATAATATTTTGTACACCGATTGGATTATCGGGATCATCTTGAGACGTATTCTGTTTTTCTAAATCCTCTAAATGTTGTTGAAGTAATTGCTTTGCAGTTTCAAATGCATTCTTCAGTTCGTCTAATTTTTCATGATACTCCAATGCTTTTTCAAGGTGTAATTTGTTATTGTGAAATGATTCTGCATAAGTATCATATCCATTTTTAAGATCTTGTATGTTCCGCCACGGTTTAAACATAAGGAGTAACGAAAAGAAATACTTTTCTGGTTGCGTATTGACATCATATCTGTAGTGATTAATAAGACATTCGCGCTGTCGCTGTTTCAAATAATAACCATTATCTATTTTATAATACATTAATTTTTTACTTTTTGGTTTGACTTTTGTTACGTCGTGCCATTGTACAAATTCATACAAAGACATCGTTTCAATTTCTTCAGGTCTATTCGGATAATGACTATCTATTACTGATGGACAAAATATATCAGTAGAATCTCTATCAAGAGCTTCAATTTCCTTACAGCTTTTGACTTTTCTGTATCGTATCTGATTAACGTCTAGCCATTTAATAGTTGTATTTCTATCAGTTCTATGTAAAGGTATACCTAATAAAGTATCAGCTGCTTCAAGAGCTCCACATTCTCTATTATTAGTGAGTCGCAAAGCAATATTCCAAAGATAACTCGCCATCGATTTGTTCTTATCATTTGTACTATTAAGGACAGAATCAGATAACTCACATTTTGCTGCTTTATTCAAATACTTAGTAATATAATACGTAAGTAACCTTGAGTTGTCACCAATAAATTGTATATCCATATTTCCTTCCCAAACAGTAAGAATAATTCGATTATAATCATTTATATTCTGTTCATCATCTGTTCGCGGAAGATCATAAAGTCTACTTTTGTGTTTCAATTGTTTTCTACCTGCTATCGAAGTTACAATATCTCTCAAAATCAACGTGCCGGTAGAAGGACGAGGAAAATCAAAACGACATACACGATAAACTTTACGCCCTTTCTTTTTAGAACGAAGACAATAATCGTTATGTGTATGTCGTTGATGCGTATTGACTCGCCTATATAAGGTCGGTGAAGATTTTTCATTCGGTAATTCACACGTTATATGTTGCAAAATGAACTTGGAAACTTCTTCCGCGGGAGATTTACCAAGAATCGGTGCATCTTTTATCCAAACTAATAGATGAAGATGTTGTACACCTCTACCTTGATACTCTCGTCGCCAGAAGTAATGTATTACTTCTCCAATCGGATGATCTTTGGAACAAATAAAATCAAGCATCGCCTGAAACTTATTATCGAGAAATCTCGATGCCGATACAGAATCTCTAGCAATAAGAGCGCTAGTAGATAAAGAGGAATCATTAGATCATCCATTTACTTGACGAATATATTCACCCAAGTCATCCCACAACCATTCACTGGGACTCAATGTTATAAAAAATGTCGCAGGTCCGTAATGTTGTATCATACACTCTAAATCACTTCTTGGTCTACGCCAGTATTGTTCCGTATTTCTTAGAGTGGAAAAAATTGTATTCAAATCTGATTCTAATAGCTCTTTATGCAATTCTTCTAAGTATTCTTTAGCCGTGTAACGATCTCGCAATTTAGTTACATTCAATTTGTGATAAATACCACGACTTAACTGACGGTTATTCGCATTGTTTAATAAATAAAATAAGTATTGTTGATTTAAACTAAATTGCGGATATTTAGATTTCAAACGACATTT